AAGTGTAATCTAAGTGGGAGGAAGTTGACGTCGCCTTTATCGCTTAGTTAGAGATCGTACACATGTTATATAGAACTTATATAGTGGTGACCCTGGGGTGTAGGCTGTTTCTCGGGGTGTTAGAGGAGCGACCAGTGCATTAGTTAGATTTTTAGATTTTTTTTAAAATTACAGTTATTACAGTAGGTTTTATTATTATTTTTTTTTTAATGTTTAGCAATCAGTTTCAGTTTTCAGTTCTTTTCTATATGTTCATCTAAATTATATATATATATATATATATATATATATATATATATATATATATATATATATATATATATATATATATATATATATATATATATATATATATATATATATAGCCTATATATATTTATTTATATAAATATATTCTAGTGTTTTATACCATTGTCATTCGTCATTACTTCAACACACTTGTGTGTGTGTCATAGTGATAGTGATACGAAAAAGTCAATCTCCACGTGCTGAGCATCTTGTCCAACAAGAAGACCGTTAAAGTAGGACAGACAATGACCACTAAGACGATCAGGAAAAATATAAGTCGCTGTCATCCCACTTAAAGTAAGTTAAAGTGCGCGTGGACTCTCGTGATCACTGAGATACGTGTTTTATAGAAGGAAGCTGGGGTCCAAAGGAAGGACAAACACGTAGTTTAAAATGCCAGATAAATCTTCTAGAAATTATACCAGATCTGCAAGTGACGTGTCATCTTCTGTTGTCTACGTCATAAAACTAGAAATTCCTACGTGGCTAGCCAATAACACCTAGAAACAGGCAGAGTTTCTTCCAGGCATCCAGAGTTTCTTCCAGGCATCTCTTCGGGCGGGGGGCAAAGCCCCCCCCCCCCCCCCCGAAATTTTTTTACCGCCCCCCCCCCCCGAACGAAAATTTATATAATTTATATAGAAAATATATACTTTTAACAGTGTCCGCCCCACCCCCCCGAAGAAAGTCTACCGCCCCCCCCCCCCCCCCGAAAATTTCAAGTGCCCCCCAGAGAAAAAAGTCTGGAAGAAACACTGCAGGCATCTCTTCCTCCCCCCCCCCCCCCCCCCCCCCCCCCCGAACAAGATGGATTTTATAGAGTAAACATACGCTTTTTACTAGTGTCCGCCCCCACCCCCCCACCCCCCGAAAATATCAAGTGCCCCCCCCCCCCCCCCCCCGGAGAAAAATGTCTGGAAGAAAACACTGGAAACAGGACAGAACTGGCTGTGTCGAAGAGGTCCGGGAAATTTAAAAGGGGCCCTCAACCCCAGATTAAAATTTTCATCGGGCATGAAAATCTGAAATTGTACATATTGTTACGAGGAAATGAAAATGGTAAAATGGTGATGTACCAACAAATTATTATTTTTTAAACAAAACACTATGGACTATTACATCACCGTTCCTAAGGCCCACCTTGATTTTGTCCTGGGGGCCCACCAGAATTTTGTCCTGGGGGCCCACCAAAATTTTGTCTTGAGGGCCCACCGAAATTTTGTCCTAGGGGCCCTTCAGAATTTTGTCCTGAAAGCCCACCAAGATTTTGTCCTGAAATTCTACCAACATTTGGTCCTAGGGGCCCACCAAGATTTTGTTCTGGGGGCCCACCAAGATTTTGTTCTGGGGGCCCACCAAGATTTTGTCCTGGGGGCCCACCAAGATTTTGTCCTGGGGGCCCACCAAGATTTTGTCCTGGGGCCTACCAAGATTTTGTCCTGGGGGCCCATCAATATTTTGTCCTGGGGGCCCACCAAGATTTTGTTCTGGGGGCCCATCAATATTTTGTCCTAGGGGCCCACCAAGATTTTGTCCTAGGGGCCCACCAAGATTTTGTCCTGGGGGCCACCAAGATTTTGTCCTGGGGGCCTACCGGGATTTTCCAGGTAGACCGGCAGGCCAGTGCAGCCCTGCCTGTAAAACAAATCTAATACTGTCAACAAAGATGAAGAAACCACCATTAGAAAGGTGGCAGAAGAAGCATACGGTCCTCAGCATGGATAACTAGTAGCGAATACATAGAGAGATAAGGAGGCGACGCTACAGTTATGACTAAGTGCCTTCAATTAGCACAGGCGAATACCACATGTAATTAAAGACTAGGTAATTATATAATGTACAATTTAAGGGAAAAAAACATATGATATATGCTATGATGTGTCACGAAGAATGTTAATGTTGTAATTGTTGAAAGCTGGCGTTTTTTCTGACAGGCGATTTTTTCCCATGACTTATCATGTTGTTTTCTTACTGTGTTAAAGGAGTAAGGGTGTGATAGAGAGCAGTGTTGGGTGACACTGTAGGTGAATTTCTATATCCTTATGTTTGCACAAATGATTCTATGTAAAATACTGGCCATTAGATGAACAAATTGGTACAATTGGCTTACTCGTGCTTACTTTTAAACCGTATTTAATGCTTGTGAAATTGTTGCAAATCAAGATAAAACAAGCCATTTTCTCTAAGATGTGATTTCAAAATTCACTTCAAAACTTTCAAGACTTGAAGTGTGGGAGAGGGCTTGTGTTACAGGAGGGGTCTTCTAAAAATATAATTTAATTTAAGATGTAGTGTGATTAACATCAGACAGCTTTCCTCTCGAGGGGGGGGGGGGGGTACCCCGAAGCACGACTAACCCCCCCCCCCCCCCCCCCCCCCCACATACACACACCCGAACGAGATATACAGAAAGTATCTACATTTTTACTTTTACCAGTATACGTCCTCCTCTCCTCCCCCCCCCCCCCCCCCCCCTCAGGGGAATATTTAGTTTAAGTGCACTTCCACCCCCAACTCCACCCCCCCCCCCCCCATGGCCCACCCCCACCGTGAGAAAAAAAGTCTGAAAGAATTACTGAAGTGGAGTGTTATATTATTATCCAGTGAAAGCTTCCTTAAAATAAAAATTAACATGGGAAAATAGAGAATCATTGTACGGAAGAAAAAAAAATATTAAAATTTAAAAAATATAGGTAACATTCAATCTTATAGGTTCTAATAGTTTTTCGTTTTCAGCTTTTAAAAAAAAATCTTCAAAATAAATGTTTAGGCTCTGCATCCATTAACAGTGCATTAGAAAGGTTTAAAAAAAAAAACAGGTAGGCGAGATTTTTTTTCCTACGTAATTTTTTATACACTATTCCTACACGAAGAGTTGACGTCACACAAACTAGCACGACATCTATGATTCATCCCCACCTAGAAACCCAAGCGGTTTCCCATGACAACCGGGGCATCAATTGACAGGGAGAGAAAATCTATCCTGGCATCCCCGCGGTCGTGTCACGCATATTGAATCTGCTCACACGACGGACTTCATTCTATTTTAAGTGTCGCCACTCACGACAAATCCATAGCAACGTACTCTCTTAATTATCACAAAAACTAAAATAGTTCACCGTACTAGCTGGTACTTAGAACTAGTAACACTGCATGACTTTAAAAAAAAAAGGGAGAAAAAACTTGTAGTTAAGGGAAAACATGATGGTGTCACTGCAGACAGTACTAGCATTAAAAAAAATTGCCCCTGTCGTGATCAATAAACTCCGTATCACATCATAGCTGTACCAGCCCTTGCTGCACCCTACTCCGTCGTTGTAATCATCCTGCTAGCTAGACAACTGTTTTAAGTCGATAAATATTACGCAACATCACTGTTTTAAACAGTAATGTTAGAAGTGTCAGAAATGAACAGTGTTTCTTACACTTCTAGCTCAGCCATATCCCAATATTTCGGCTGGGTGCCTAGTCTAAAATAACCATATTTAATTAAAACAATTAATAATGATTAGTAGTAGTTCTAGTCTCTAATAGTAGCTTAGTAAGCCTAGGACTAGTATTTGTATGTTTTATAATAACTAATATCTATAAGTATAGTGAAATTGTAAGAATAAATTATTTAGTAGAGAATCAGAGCTAGAACTTCGTTAAGAAATAAAAATTTCTTCACCAAGTCTTAACTGGCTGTATTAAACCTTGATCTACATCTCACATTATTCTTGCCTTAGACGTGGGGTGCAGTGCAACCGAACTTTACCGGCCTAGATCTACATCTTTTCGTTGACCACTCTAATTTTATTGTTATTCTCATCTACACTACGTTTATTACGAGAGACAAACATACATTTATATGATTATATCACAATAAAGTAGCTTATTCATTCCCCATCACAATTCACATGCAAATGTTTCTACATTCATTATTCTAGATGTAGATCTATTTTCATCTTTATCATTATCGAAAGCGGTATGCCACTTATATTGTTATAACATTATTTCTTTGAAAGAACTGTATAATATTAGCTTATGTTAACATGCATTTGTTATCGTTAAAAAAAATTCAAAATATAAAATGATGACGTTACGAAACCAAATTAAAATGTTTTACTAATATGTTCAAGATTCAATAAGGGAGGTAATTACAGCCGCATTGTTGAATGTGAAATTGCTCCTACCGCCCCCACCCCCTTTCACGGCCCCACACTCTTCCTCTGCCCGCCATTGAGGAACGGGGCGATCTTGTGTCGTGTCAGACGAGAAAGGAAGGGAGGTTATTGATCGTCTGCTAGGCTGGATGTTTCAAGAATCTGATGCTGTTTTTTTTTCCCCCCACACGACCAATTTTTTTCTCGTCTACTAGATCTAGTCGTCTGATGAGAGTGACACAGCTAAACTTTATAAGCACAGACATATTCATGTACAGGAAAAATAATCGAAACTCTATTATCTTATACCATAGAGTTTCCTTCCAACTACACATTCAAACACAAAATACGAAGTGGTTGAAGAAAACACAGTGTGCATTTGATTATTTTTAAATGCCAAAAATATTGAGCGCCATTTCGCACCGGTAAGGACACAAAAACACAGTTGTGTGAGGGAGGGTACGCTATTTACGATTACCGTGTAGTCGTTGCTGTAATATTTGAGAATAGGGGCTGGGGATTTCTAAAAGAAAGTATGTGTGTTAAATAACCGTGATTCCTATAGGGTGGTTAATTACATAACACGCATTCGACGTGCTTTACACACGGATCACCTGAATACAGGTCACGCCGCTGGCTTGCATGAAGGTGGTGTGGATTCGATACTCGCCCAAATGCGATTCTCTTTCTGCTGAGTGGGGTTGACTTCTGTCTGTATCATTTGTGTGGAGAATAACAAATCGGTCTGCGGTCCAGATATTGTTATGATAAGGTAAGTGTTTACATTATTTTGACGGCTTTGTTTCTCTTGATAGGCCTAATTAAATCCAATTTTTTAAACATCCATTGTTGAAGCGAACGTTATGAAACAACACTAACAATGAAATGAAAATGCCACTTGAATTTTAATCTAGAATCTAGACCTAGATCTAGATTTAAATCTAGACTCTAGTAGACTAGAACTTGATCTAAATCTAGATCTAGATCTAGTTTTCAATGCTTTAAGCGGGCAACTATTGAAATTGAAGGTTGAAAAGAATGCCTAAATCCAGCATTTATAATGTATACTCTATTGTTGTGTGCATGCCTTCACTGGGTTTGAATAGACCCCTGCAAACAGGCTTTTTGTTCAATTCCAGTGACTGCTCTAGATCCTGTAATTTCGTAAGCTGTGATCGTCACCTTTATATACTTCATATAAATTATAATTAGATCTAGATCTACAAGTTTGACGTGCAATGTATAAAAGTAAACAGATCCATAAAAAGATTATAAGGAAACTGTTAGTTAAGATTGTGTAAGTTATAACTCGACCTAAGTGGTTGACGGAAATGTTAATCAAACATTGTCAACTATTGTGAAAAATTAGCCTTTCAAGTGTGTGCTGTATACACAGTCCTCTCTAAGAGGTAACATCCAGTTTCTAACAATCTTTGTTTTCTTTTTCTCGTACACTACACAGCTTTGTATAACTTATTATAAAATTATACGCTGTTCTGTCTATGCTGATACAACTCATTTATAATCTCCCTTCTTTATATCCTACACGATCCTGTCCTTTCTTTCTTTTAAAAACACATTCTGTCTATCCTTACGCGATTGCATTCTATTTCTTTCATCCCCGTTCTCTCTATCCTGGCGCTTTTTTTTTCTTTCATTCACAAACACATACACTGTCATACACACACACCTCTGTGTGTCCTGATTGCTACTCACACAACACACCCCCCTCGTCAAACTCTCACAACACACACCACTCGTTCAACGTGAAGCGCTTGTCACAGTAATTACAGGAGGGGAGGATGGGGAGGGGGCTCGTATTTACATATCCACACAAGAACGCGCCCATACGGAATCAAAACAAAGGTTAGTAGCGGAAGTTGGCCGCGCCGAGGATTTATGGCGCGCCATCACACCGGTTCCTCCAAATATTGTCTTTAGTTTGGAATTTACTCGCCCTAGTAAAACAAATGCAGTACGGCTGTTGAAATGTCCGAACTTACACATCCAGGGTTTAGCGGGGACGCGGTGGTCTTTCACTTACCGGTTCAATCTGTCTTAGAGCTCATTATCGCCTTCGGGTCAAGGCCTGACCTTTGACCTTTAACGTTCTGGCTTGTGAGTTCAATGCAAGTCATCAGTACAACCGGGACACGACTTAGGCCTACCATTTTTGTGTACGCTTTTCTTTTCACACCATCGTTGTAGGGGGGGAGGGGGTGGGTGGAAAGAAACGTAGCGTCATTAGGCAAGGCTTGTTCTATTAGCGGCACTGAACACAAATCTGTGTTGCATCACTGTGTTGGAATGACAGGTTTAAACTGGATCCCCGCGCCTTCTTGTATTATAATCCCACCATTGCCCGATGTATTGAAACCGCACTAGTGATTCGTGTACTACGCTCGAACCAGTGGGTATTTTTTTCGTTTCGCAACAAACATATTTTAAATTATTTTTTCTTTTCCATGAACATTGTAATAACTAGAATCTAATATGCAGCCGGCTTTTCTAAATGTCAAACGACACGTGTTGTTGGAAGTATATTGATTTTTTTATGTATGTAATGTATGCCTACAATTAGGCCTGCTGCCTCTAAACATTTTTTTTTCCAACGAGCCTGTCTATTGTTAATACAAAAACTGTTGTTAAAGTGGTCAGATTCTCAAAATGTGATCTTTCTTTCAGGCCCGCCCTACCAGTAGAATAGAAACATTATGGAAGTGGCATCATGGCGACCAAGTATAAAATAGTTCTTGTTAGACATGGCGAGAGTGTCTTCACCAAACAGAATTTGTTTTGTGGATTCGCCCATGATGCAGATTTGACCGATGTGGGAATACAAGAAGCAATTCGTGCTGGACAGGTAGGTTATTTTCTTCACTGGGCTACCTTCTGCACCAGGGGCTGTCTGCTGACCAGTCTGTCTGCTGCACCAGGGGCCACCTGCTGACCAGACTGTCTGCTGCATCAGGGGCCACCTACTGCACCAGGGGCTACCTCCTTCACCATTGGCCACCTCCTGCACCAGGGGCTGTCTGCTGCACCAGGGCCACCTGCTGCACCAGGGGCCACCTGCTGACCAGTCTGTCTGCTGCACCAGGGGCTACCTCCTGCACCAGGGGCCCCCTGCTGACCAGACTGTCTGCTGCACCAGGGGCCACCTGCTGACCAGGCTGTCTGATGCATCAGGGGCCATCTGCTGACCAGGCTGTCTGATGCATCAGGGGCCATCTGCTGACCAGGCTGTCTGCTACACCAGGGGCCACCGCCTGGACAGGGGCCATCTCCTGCACCAGGCTACCTGATGACCAGGCTGTCTGCTGCATCAGGGGCCCCCTGCTGTATCAGGGGTTACCTCCAAAGCCGTCTGCTTCACTAGGATGATTACCTTGATTCAGCTGTCAACCTCTCCCACCCCTAATTATATGGATTTAAATTGTCTTGTAGCTATACAACTAACTGCCTTGGGATACAAAAGACTCAATTAGATAATAATATCCCGCCTGTTGCTTAATCATCCTGTGTCTTGGTTTTTGTACATGCATCCAATTTTCTTAAATGATCATGTGTGTAGTTCATTTGTAAAGCTATGAATTAATCTTGTCTTGAGAAACATAAAGGCTTAGTAGCATTTACCCACTTATATTATAACATATATATACCTAACACACATACTACCCCAGGAATAACAAACAGTAAATATTAGATTAGACATGCATAAAGTTCTTTTTTTTTATGAACGAGAGTAATAGGAAATTCCCAGAGCTACAACCTTGTGTTATGAAATATTTTAAAAAGTCTAAATACAAAATGAAATGTATTAATTTATAATGACTTATAACTAATCTAAACAGTTTTCTTTATATGGACAGTTAAGTAACTTAGTTTAAACTTAAAGCAATCACTGCTTCACTGTATGTGTAAGATTGAGATAAATCAAGTTTAATATTTAGGTCATGTTTACTGATAAAATAACATGACCTAAAAATCCAGCATCTCTGTTTAAATGTATGGGGTTATTTATCCTAAATAAGCATACAAAACAGTGGTTTAATTTCTTTAAAGATTTTTTTTTATGTATTTATTAAATCTATTTTAAACATGTATGTTGAATTTTGTCCTAATTTTACTTTGCAGCTGTTGAAAGAAAACAATTATGAATTTGACATAGCATTTACCAGTGTTCTAAAACGAGCAATCAAGACTTTGTATTATATCCAAGAACAGCTAGACTGCCATTGGTTGCCTGTCATCAAATCATGGCGTCTGAATGAACGGCATTATGGCGCTCTTCAAGGCCTTCATAAGGCTGAAACTGCAGCAAAATACGGAGAAGACCAAGTCAAGGTTATTATTCTAACCCATACATAGATACTAATTGCTTGTATACAGATTCAAAACTAAAAGATATCCAATAGATAAGGGTAGTTACTTAAAATAGCAACTGATAAAGATTAAATTCCCAAGTAAACAAATTGTTGTTTAATGAATATATTTGCAACTACGTTATTTGAAAGAGATAAACTAGGCTTTATTACAATATTTAATGAACATACTTGCAACTATGTATTTGAAAGAGATGCACAATGCATTGTTATCACATTTCGTGAACATATTTGTAACCGCATAATTTTTCTGGCACAGCTGTGGAGAAGATCGTACGATGTTCGACCCCCACCTCTAGAGAGAAATGACGAGAGATGGCCAGGAAAAGCCAGACAATACGCTGTAAGTCCTATCAAATTTGTATATTTTAATTTGCCTTAGGTTTAATTATTCACAACCATTAAAATATTTAATGTGGCATGTATGAAACGTTTTTAAAAAGTCACATAACTAAAACATTTTTGTTCAGGCTATGGATCAAGGCATGATTCCAACAAGTGAAAGTCTCAAAGACACAATATACAGAACATTGCCGTGCTGGTATGATCAAATTGTGCCAGCTATTAAGGTAATTCATTTACACCTGTAATTAACACATGCATTAAAAATATTTTTAATGAGGTCTTGTTTGGGGAACACTTAAAAAGGCAAACTTACTTATTCCATAAATAACTCTAAAAAATTTAAAGTGAAAAAAATTTTATTGCTCCAAATGCTCTAATCATAAATTCAGTAAAAAAAATTTATCGTGAAATTTTTATAATGTACCTATATTCATATATCTAAGAATATTGCATAATGTAAAAGTGGGGTCTTTTATATTTGAATTTATTTTGTTGACAAATTTTGCCTTTCATATAATGAATATTCCTGTTCTGTGTTTTTCTTACAGTGGTTAATTTATTTTTTCTATTTATCTGCAGTCAGGCCAAAAAGTTTTGATCATCGCACACGGCAACAGTCTTAGAGGAATCATCAAATTTTTAGATAAACTTTCTGATGAAGATATTGTTAGTCATGAAGTACCTACAGGTAGTTCTCCATCATTTACCCAATACACCTTGTTTGATTACTCTCAAGTTCTTAGCATCTACATAGTTTTATTTTTATTGACTACCAATACAAAATGTACATAGTTTTATACTTATCAACAAAGCCAAAAAAAAAACACCTCCGCAAGAGATAAAACAACTGTCATAATAACAATAAAATTAATACTATGTAGGTCTAAATGTCTTTTTTTACAGTTTTTATTTTATTTCAAGTACTCTGATTTTGAAATTTTTTATTTTAAAATAAGATTTCAGTATCTACATTTTTCATTTCAACAAGTTGATAAGCATGCCTTAATTCTTGACTTGTTCCAGGCATTCCAATGGTTTATGAGTTAGACGAGGATCTACAAAAGGTCACTAGCTATTACCTGGCATCGGACGAGGAGGTGGCGGCTGCCAAAGCATTGATAGCTGATCAAGGAAAAATCAAAAAATGATATTTATTTTATTTGTTCATTCATCCATATGTTACAGGTGCAATTAAAAAGATGACTTACCCAGACAAGCTTGTCCTGTTCTGGGTATATTTTTCTAATCATCTCTACTGTCTTAATGGAACTGATCTCCATTTTTATTGTAAAAACTGAAGATTTGGCTATTTATTGCACATTCTGTTGAGGCGCACACAGTTGTTTATTGTAGTGCATATCTTGTCATTAAATTTTTTGTACAACTAGAACTGTCTTAAGCATTTTTTTGTGTACAGGTAATAAATGTCAAAAATATCAAGAATATTGAAAATGTTTTATTTAAAGTAAGGGAACTAACCCAATATTTAAAAAAAATCTATAGTTATGATTGGGGGGAAAAGAATTATTTTAATTTGTCATAAATAAATTCTAATGTCTGTATGTAAGGATGTTTGAAAATGTTATCTCTTATCTTCAAAACCATTATCTTCTAACCATTTACATACATAAAAACATTACAGTACTCAGCCTTAAAATTGTGAAAAAAAAAGCTTACTTAGCTGTTGAATGCCCTTTAAAAATTCAAATATCAAGTTATTTATTTTTTATCATGCACGGGTAGAATTTAGAATCTTGCAGTGAACACCACGAAATTAATCACCAATGAACGGGCTTCGCTCAACGTCCTAATTTGTTCTCTGGGTAGTTTGATCAAGTGAACAGAAGTAACAGATATACAGCCGGGTGAAGGCGAGGAGTTGAGCTATTTGTTTAGCTGACATGATCAAGTGAACAGAAGTAACAGATATATAACTGGGTGAAGGCGAGTAGTTGAGCTATTTGTTTAGCCGACATGATCAAGTGAACAGAAGTAACACTGATATATAGCTAGGTGAAGGGGAGGAGTTGAGCTATTTGTTTAGCCGACATGATCAAGTGAACAGAAGTAACACTGATATATAACTGGGTGAAGGCGAGGAGTTGAGCTATTTGTTTAGCCGACATGATCAAGTCATTCTAGTGGGCTGGCTGAGTGGTTACGTTTTAATTTGTAAAAAAATAATAAGCTGTAGGCGTATTAAACTATCTAAATTGAGAATTAACACTGAAAGAACAAGGTGCCAACAGTGACAGCAAATATGTCCGATTCATATTTGAATAAGAGACAAAGTAGACATTTTGAAAATAAACATCTATCTATATATATAATTCTCTTCTTGGAGACCTTAGAAAACAAGCTGTAAGCGCGCTCCCTACCACCCCCACCCCTACATGGTCTGGTGAGCTGTGGTTCACGCTAAATGTTTTCAATCGTAGAGCCGGGTTTAGTGACGTCTATTAGGGGCAGATAATTTAGTTTGAAACGATTTTAAACCTAGGGGAGGTAACTAAGAGGAGTTTTCTTTCACGGGGGATGGGGTAAGGGGGTTATCGTCCTTAACGAGCTACTGATAGTGTTTTAAAGCAAATATGATCAGTGGCAGCATTGGTACTGTCGAATTTCCAAATTACGAATTACTGTAAAGTAGAAAATAAAACAACTAAATAGCGGCGTATGATACGCCGCGGGTCGGCTCGTTTTAAGAAGATTTGACTGTATGTAAAAACGGAGTTAAAACACCTGGGGGTCTAAGCTTGTTTCTATGAGACATTGTTTCTTCCAGACTTTTTTCTCCGGGGGGAGTGGGGGGCACTTGATATTTTCGGGGAGGGGCGGACACTGGTAAAAGTACATGTTTTCTATATAAATTCCATTTCGGGGGGAGGGGGGGGGGGGGTAGACTTTCTTCGGGGGGGGGGGGGGGGGGGGGGGGGAGGGGGACAGACCCCACCACCCCCCACCCCACCCCCGATGAGATGCCTGGAAGAAACTCTGCTCTGAGAATTTCACACCAGTATTTCGTAATATGTGATCGACGGAAGGTTGAGGAGATTATCACAAATATCAGCCTTTTCTGGTTTTGTTGATGAATCTGTTTGGATAAATTCGTATTCGATTTCTTGTATGTCAAGATTTTAAAAAATATTTTATTTGCACATACAAAGTAATTAAATACGGCTTATCGCATGTAATAGTGTGCTGTTATGTATCAACTTCTTCCATCTTCATTTATTTTTAATCTGAATGTTGTCTTAATATTAAGGAAATCAAAGAAGTATCAAGACAGTAACAACTTGAGTGACGTCACCGAGAGACAACTGAATTGTAAAAAAATCTACTGTCAAAACTCTTTTATCTAGATGGATAGAAGAAGAGAAAATCTACTGTCAAAACAATATTTTGTCTAGTTAAAATTTTAAAATAGAAGAGGGAAGACCAAAAACCAAATATGCAAAATTGTTGGAGAGGGGGTGAAGGGTGACACCCTCAACTACCGCACCGGACGCCCGACGAACGGACGCCATCGTATCAAGGTAATACTCGGTCCTTATTACTAAATTGATAGTAATCAGCTAGGATGTGCCTTGTAAAGGCATTCGAAGCAAGTAAGTTTGACAAGTTTTTGCTTAATAATTCTATGATCTACTTTGGTTATTAATAACAAATATTTTATTTTAATTAAATTACAAATTCCCTTTCCATGAAAAGGGATTTAAAAAAAACGAAAAAATGCTGACCACAAAATACATTTGTAGTTGGTAACAATAAGCGAGCTATTGAAACTCTTAAAATATACTTTGATATAAAGTCATGGTTTTTAATTTCTAATTACATTTGTTATTTAAATTAACATTTTGATACAAAAGAAATTTTCAGTTATAATTGTCTATCTTAATATTATTTTAATATATAATATCACAAAAAAATGTGTCTAGCTTGTAATTGATGCATTTTAAAAAGTTTTAAAATATTTTGCAGTTAAAGTGCAAGTTACCTCCCCTGGTCAATTTTTTTATTAACAATATTATTTTCACATCCTTCCACGGTTCAATGACTCGTATGTGCAAAGTCCTAGAATTTCTAAATCTTTCTCTGCAACTGCTCTCCCAAAATAAAATAAAAAACGTAGCAACAATAAATTTTCAGCACAACGGTTGTGTTGTTAATGTTAAATATCATATAATTCAACTAGAAACGTATTACTTTTAGAAGAAGATACAGGCCCTTTAATTTAAAAACAAGTTAATTAAAAAAGTTTAGTGACATTTATGCGCAATTTCCTTATGTTATCTAAAAATAGCTCTGACGTATAATGCTTGGATGCGTTCAAGCTAGAAGAACGATCGGTTTGTAGGTGTTTTTGTAATTTTAAAAGTTGTGACCGAACGAGAAGATATTTTTGAAAACTTTCTTCGGCAATATTGTTCTAAACTATGGCGGGAATCGATTGGTACATGTTTCAAGTCGCTAAGTGGTCTGGTTGCCGAGATATGGGCCAAAAACTGAATTTTTTCAAGGTTTTTTGGCTTTTCCGGGAAATATATGAAAGAAACCCGGAATTTTTATGGCCTATGCTCATTCTCGTAACTTGCTTAACACAATTGCTTTTGGAACTAGTCATCGATATTGCTTCGTTGAGGAGGAGATACGACTTAAAGCCCGGACACACATTCATCCATACATTCATTCATTCATTCATCCATCCATTCCCAGAAATGACGAGTTAATAAACACAATTCTCCAGAATGGAAATTGCGCTAAAAAATAAGTTCTTAGTTTGAAAACACCGTTTGAGTGTTTTAACCTGCTTTTTTAAAAGTGGAACACAAGTAACTAGCTAGGCCTGTTCTTTAAGGAAAACATTTCACTAGCTAGGCCTGTTCTTTGAAGAACACATTTCACTAGATAGGCCAGTTTTTTAAGGAACACATCTCACTAGATAGGCCAGTTTTTTAAGGAACACTAGCTAGGCTGTTATTGTGGTAGAACACGCGTCTTGAGAATAACGCACGATGACCTCATTACATAGTAATTACACGCTAATTAGGAAGGCTGAAGTTTTCGAGTAAAGCTAGAATACTTACAACATTTGCTAAACTATTTTATTTAAGAGAAGAAAAACAAAGGCGTCCATACGCTTCAAAGTCATCTCCCACTTTGTCAATTTATATGAAATGTTTAGCTTTTCATCGCACTTAAAAGCCTAGAGCTATGATTGCACAACTAGATGAAAGGCAAAAACAACTTGTAAGCAATAATTGAAGAGAACCACGCCAACCCTCCCCCAACCCCCAAACAAATACTGTTTCGCTAATTAGTATCAAGAACAGATGTATTCAAACCAATAGAAAATTTAAAGTTCACCGTTGTAATGCTATGAAATATTAAACATAATGAAGAGATAACTAAGTATGCAAGTCAGCAGTTGGAAAATAGCAGAGTGAGTTCCCTTGAAAAGGGAAGTATAAATTAAATATGTCTATTATTTAACAGTAGAGCAGACATAAGATAAAATTGTAGGAGGGGAGTGGGGGACCTTATTACCCATCCCCCAATATAATGAAATAACTGAGTATTCAGGTCTGTTGTTCGTAATTAGCAGAGTGAAAAGGAAAAAACAAGACTGCATGTATCTAAGCTAAGAATCTATTGAATGAAATTCAACCTTACAGTGTAGTCGGTATATGGATGTGTTCAGGGAGTTGGGGAGCTAAAACTTCATCCCCCGTGCCCCCATCCTTAGGCAAATTATAATTGTCTCACCATAAGATCTGCTATCACTAACTGGGATCCAGTGTGGTTTTCATTGATCTCGTTTCAATGTCATATATCCATATATATATATATATATATATATATATATATATATATATATATATATATATATATATATACATATATATATATAATATTATATTATATTATATATATATATATATATATATATATATATATATATATATATATATATATATATATATATATATATATATATATATATATATATATATATATATATATGAGTGTGTGCGCGCGCGCACAAACACAATTTCACGGACAATTTCATGGTACAATTTCCTGACTATCCACTTATGTTATAATGTTATATCTAATGTGTGTGCGTGTTGATGGTGAGATATGTATTTTACTATGAACAGAGAAAAACTTTCTGAAGCTACAAGATGAACAACCACATACACACGTTATTTTATGTGGTTTTTCACTGTTGAACTTTTGCCAGAGCTACCCAGAATTTTAAATTCTTTTAAAACGAAATCTCATCTCGTTAGTGTCATCTGCTAAACAGGTTAGTGTTAGAAGTTTGTTTTATTTTGTCTGTCACAATTTGGACTTACTTCTTTATCAGTAACGATTACCTAACTCAGGGTCAAATAGTTCTATTTTACCAGTATACCGTAAACATTCAATGTGCACTGACTACTAGGCCTATTATATCAATCAGCAGGTCTAAACAAGAGAAAATATAACCTCTGAATGAACAATTTTTAAACTGCTGAAAGCTGCTTCTTTAGAAACCAGTAGTGCAACACCAGCGCAGCCCAGTTCTCAAAAGCAGAAATCTCAATCATACAATCATTAAAAAAACAAAACAAGCAAGTACACTGAAGTGAATGTATTTAAAACTGGAAGAAATTGACAAAGCATCTCTCAGTCTATAAATAAATGCATCAGATATATACAGTAGAAGCAAATTAAAAAGATGTATAGGAGCATACATGAAATACATTTATAACCACTGTCGAGCTTAAAACATTAATGACCTATGTCTAGAGCCAAGCTTTAATGACCTGTGTCCACAGCCAAGCATTAATGACCTGTGTCCACAGCCAAGCATTAATGACATGTGTCCACAGCCAAGCTTTAATGACCTGTGTCCACAGCCAAGCATTAATGACCTGTGTCCACAGCCAAGCTTTAATGACCTGTGTCCACAGCCAAGCATTAATGACCTGTATCCATAGCCAAGCTTTAATGACCTGTGTCCACAGCCAAGCATTAATGACCTGTATCCATAGCCAAGCATTAATGACGTGTGTCCACAGCCAAGCATTAATGACCTGTGTCCACAGCCAAGCATTAATGACCTGTATCCATAGCCAAGCTTTAATGACCTGTGTCCACAGCCAAGCATTAATGACCTGTATCCATAGCCAAGCATTAATGACGTGTGTCCACAGCCAAGCATTAATGACCTGTATCAACAGCCAAGCATTAATGACGTGTGTCCTAATTAAAACATCAGAAAATCAATCTCCATATTAAAACATTGATAGCCAATCTCCGATACTACAAACAATGACGACTTATGTCAGAGACCATGCATTATGACGTTTGCCACGTATCACCAACCAGCAGTATCTGGCAACAACCATCAATAATCTGTTGCAAGTACATGTCACGGCCAGGGCTTAGTATCTGCATCTATAATTCTCTTGTGTCGTGGCTATTCAACTTGTTTGATCCATAATGACCAAATCTAAATTTTTATAGATCGACCTTGATCTATCGCTCCGACCGAAAACAGACCATTTTCGATCCATGCTGTTTTATCAATATATATGTAGGCTTTTACATCATAATCATAATCTCTCGCAGTCTCTTACCATAACTAATATGCATTTTTTTAAATACACATTTTAATTAATTATTCATACATTTAAATTACCCGATTTTCAAATCATTTGCATAATTGAATATAGGGGTAAAAAAAAAATGGCAGAGCCGGGTTCCAGAGTGAAGCAAAATACCCAAGAATTGTTGAGTCCAGAGTTTCCATTGTGAGTTCCTTGTTTACAGAATACATGCAGTAGTGTGTACATACAGGAGTATACACGGCGTGTGAACACATAAAAACATAAACATTAAAAAAATATTGCAGATTGAAATGAATTCATTGCATCCGTCGCGTGTGTTATTACATCACAACATGTGAATAATCGCTTAAACAAACTAAACATTGTCAGAAAATTAAGTTAACATCCTAATAATTTAATGTTCATTTTAATAGAATAAAATAAAGCGTTTATTTTTCAAATTATGCCATAACACCAGTGATCCATTTATTTTTGTTGACGTCGTTTCCATAGTAACGATCTGTCTAAATACATTCAGATATGGTTGTATTAAACAAACCTCACGCTCTCTGATAATCCATACACACTCACACATTTGATTTTACTTTACACGTGCATGTTGATGGTCTTTAAAAAAAACATGTGACCACATTGACTCGATGCTTTAGCTTTGTGAAGAATCTTTCGGGGCCAGTGCTATGCTGAGACCAATGATGCCCGCAATGACAACTACAACGCCTAGTACGATCACCGTTATCCATATACATTTTCTATGTCGTGGACTTCCTGTGTTTACCTGTAAGAAAATGTTTATTTATAGAAATAGATAAATATATAGAACAGGCCAATATTTTTTAAAGAATAGTATATATATATATATATATATATATATATATATATATATATATATATATATATATATATATATATATATATATATATATTTGGCTATAGACACACACAGACACATAATATATATACACACATATATATATATATATATATAGTTATTTATTTATTTATATATTTATTACGTGCTTACGTGCGTGTGTGTGTGCGTTTGTGTGCGTTTGAATAGTATATAGATATATATATATATATATATATATATATATATATGGCTATAGACACACACAGACACATAATATATATACACATATATATAAATATGTATATATATATATATATATAGTTATTTATTTATTTATATATTTATTTATTTATATGTACGTATGTATATGTGTGTGCCTATATATGCGTGTGTATGTGTATATGTACATATATATGTATGTATGTATATATGTGTGTGTGCGTGCTTACGTGCGTGTGTGTGTGCGTGCGTTTGAATGTGTGCCTGGGTTTCTCACAACGGAAGTTTGTACACTATACAAGAACTGTGAAACTTCAGTAAATTTTACTGTAAAGGTATTTTGCCTTTCTAGTCAACATAGATCTACTGTATTCACAACAAATAGATTCCATTGGGTAAATTTTGCTGAGTGTATTAAGCCATACACCACGGCCACGTACTTACAAGTTGCAACACTTTAAATATTCATCTTTTATGTTCATCATAAATAGCTATTGGATGAACTTTTTGATTAAGAATTTTAATATTTGACAGTTGAAAAGTAGTATACTTTATTAAACAAAAACCAATTGCACTCAACTACTTCTTATTGCGATAAATTGTTCTTCTTAATAGCTTTTGTATTCACCTATCCTACGTGTAAATTGTAACTAGGATAATTATAAGTCTGGTTCTGATGCACTGTAAATTGCATGTCGCATTGGGTCAGATGTTTTCTTTTTGAGGCCTATCTAGAAGAGAAAATGTATTATTCAATGATTTTTCTTTCTTTTATACGGAATTTTTAAAAAGATAGGCGCATCATCAATCGGTGCGTTTTTTGTTTTCTTTAACTTGGGTTCAATTAATTTCAAATGCAACAATCAATACTAATTAGCTTTAAGATAACAGAAACTGTGGTGAATAATTGAATACACTCGGGGTCAACGAGTTTTAGGTCATAATTAATTTAACTACAGTTATTTTAATGAACTTTTTAAAAATCATTTTTCTCTTATGACTTTGAAGTTGTTAAGTAGGTATGTGAAGCGAACTGAGTGAACTATTGGCATCAGAAATTAAGATGACGAACACAAAATCGAAATTGAACATTTAAAATGACTTTTTAAATATTTAGACATGTTAAATAACTTAAAAGTTTTCTTTTTTAATTTTATTATGATGCTTATTTAAGCATTAGTATGAAATAAACCCACGAACTATCAGGGACGAATTGTGAAAGAAAATTGCGAAACAAAACGGTAGCGTAGTGAGATACGGCATATGTTAAAAAGCGCCATGGGATTTCGTCGAGACAACGCTAGTCAATTTTCTACCAATGACGACACGACTCGCTGAAATCTAAAAATAAACTTACAAAAATAACCCCGGGTATTTTGAAATGTGTACCTCGAGAGACTAACCTAGACCGATCATTGGATCAATGCGCTGCTATTAGAAGCTTAGCGAGGGAGTTACTTTAAAGCTACTACAATCATACGCAATTCACGATGACGTCTACACAGACAAAAACTGATACGCAGACAATAAGTTGCGGCTGCAGAGTTATTTAGAGCGTGACATATTTTTTTCTACTTCTGCTATATAACAGTTCGGTATCGACATATATTTTCTGAGTATCTAATGGGGTAGATGTTAAGATAAGTATTGGTATCAATTTAGCCAAACTAGCCAATTTAACCGCGACAATGCCTTGTTTACGTAAGTTCATACTTGTAGATCGAAATAAACAATACGAAGATAAAACCTACAACTAATTCTAATACGTATTTTTAGCCGCAGAAATGGAACACTTTAAAAATTCCTCACTTGAAAAACAGAAGAATATTTGAGGTAGATCTAGAAGAGTTTACGTTCAAGATATAGATCTAGTGTTCCATTTACGTCTAATCTCCTATGCAAATTAATGTCTTCTCTTAAATTATGATCTAATAAGATCAGGTATCAAATCTGTTTAGCTCTGTGATGTTGAATAATGCAGTAAGGAGATGAATCAGGTCTGGTATTTCCCTTACAAGTAGACTTTGCTTTCCATCTAGTCTTATCTCCTCAAAAGAAACAATGGTGTTAACCGTGGAAAAATATCTGGCACGCGATATTCAGGCGAAATGGCACGCGCTGTGAGATCATACCACAGTGGCACGTGCTTACGGCAGATCACGCGAACCCAGGGAAAGCCTAGCTCTGATCACGTTCGTGACATAGATCAAATCACGTCTGCAACCTAACATCAAATCTCCATAGATCAAATCACGTGTATAATATAGATAAAACCGCACTCAAACTTCAAACAAACGGACGCGCACACAAAATCTACAATGGCCGCTAACTTCCGGTTTGTCGAAGACATTCTCCGGCTCCAGACACTGAGACCACGTGACCCACTGCCATGTTGAACCCTCGCTCCTCCAGTATTTACCGATCTCACGTCACTCCCACCCCAACCTCCCTCCTTATTGTTTTACCTCCGTATATTTATTTTCCCCTCTCGCCCGTCTCACCCCCCCCACCCACTTCTCACACACGCTGCCCCACCTAGTTCCCCCCCCCCCCCTGCCCCATCAATCAATAAGGATCCCTTGCTTTTATTCTAGAAACAGTCGCGGGTTTCACAAGCCAGAAATTCACACAGTCAAAGTTTTCTTCCTTGGTTTGACGGTCAAAGATTAACTTGTGACTGCGCATGCGCTAAACATCAAATTCTAGAGGGTGGCCTGAAGTGTTTCTTTCAGAATTTTTTTCTCCGGGGGGCACTTGAAATTTTCGGGGGGGGGGGGCGTACTGGTAAAAGTATATATTTTCTATATAAATTATTTTTCTTTCGGGGGGGGGCAGAAGTTATTCGGGAAGACCCCCCCCCCCCCCCCACCTCACCACCACCCGAAGAGATGCCTGAAAGAAACTCTGGAGTATTGCGGGGGTTGGGGTATTGAAATTTGATCCTATTAAGCATGGGTCCTTTTAACATACACTACCATCCCGTGATGTGCAATCTCTCTGAGACACAACCATCCCGTGATGTGCAATCTTTCTGAGACAGATAACGTGATGTGCAATCTCTCTGAGACACATCCCAGGATGTGCAATCTATCTGAGACACATCCCAGGATGTACAATCTTTCTGAGACACATCCCGTGATGTGCAATCTCTCTAAGACATTCCAGGATGTGCAATCTCTCTGAGACACATCCCGTGATGTGCAATCTCTCTGAGACACATCCCAGGATGTACAATCTCTCTGAGACACATCACGTGACGTGCAATCTCTCTGAGACACAACCCGGGATGTGCAATCTCTCTCAGACACATCCCGGGATGTGCAATCTTTCTGAGACAGATTACGTGATGTACAATCTCTCTGAGACACATCCCAGGATGTGCAATCTCTCTGAGACACAACCCGTGATGTACAATCTCCCGGAGTTCCAATTCTTTCTTCTGGTGAACGTTACGGGGCTAAGGTCAGGAGTGTGTATTTAAGTCTTCTGCAGAGTGAGAGGAAATCTATAAATGGGACGGGTAGGGGGACGGGGAGGGCGCTGTTTCAGACAGTCATCTTGTAAAATTCTAGACAAATTGTGTAGACACAACCAATGAAACGAAGGGGGGAGGTGGTGAGGGAGGGAGTGGGTTCCTAGATTGGATTCTATCTGTGGCGAGCTAGGTTTGGTCAGGGTTTTTTGTTTACACAACTTTTATCCCCAACTATTGTGCGTCCTATAAGCTTGGCAGTTCCGTTAACAGTTTTAAAATTTCAATTTACATTAAATATTTGTATTTAACTTTCTTTTTAAAATTTAATTTAATTTTTATTGTATTTATCCACTGTGTTACACCCAACAAATATTAACTGTTTAAATGGTTTTTTTAGATTTAAAGGGATTATTGATGTTACTTGTTTGGCGAACTTTTATATAAGTTTTAGAGATTTTTCGCAAGTTATCGGCGTTTTGATCTGGCCAACGTTATTGTATCCTGATGGTAAAAGATATTAAAAGGATTGGGAAAGTAGCCAACGTAAAAGATGAATCGACACATATTTTACACATACATTAATTTCTAAGATTTCTAATTTATGTAACTTATCTTAGTATTTTTTACCCTAACAAAAACATGACTATTCTATTCCTATATACAAATACCGACAACATACTAACCCATACACACTGACAATTTACTAACAATCTGTAAACCTACTAAAAAATGTAACATACTAAAACACACTGAAACCTGACAGTAAACTGACATATACAAAATCCTGAAACTTACTGACACAAAACCTTGCAACAAACTGACACATACACAATTATGACAACCCACTACACATAAAAAATATGAAAACCTAATAGCTCATAAGATATTATTTAAAAAAAACAACCACCACATATTTTTTTCAACCTGACTACGTACAAGCAATTACACAAATCTGACAACCTACAGAAATGCACATACAGCAACCTGACTACGTACGAACACATACACAAACCTGACAACCTAATGATATAAAACCAAGCAACCTACTGCACAGAAACCTGACTACGTACGAACACGTACACAAACCTGACAACCTATTGACATAAAACCTAGCAACCTACTGCACATACAGAAACCTGACTACGTACGAACACAAACCTGACAACCTATTGACATAAAAACTAGCAACCTACTGCACATACAGAAACCTGACACCTATTGACATAAAAACTGGCAACCTACTGCACATACACAAACCTGACAACCTATTGACATAAAACCTAGCAACCTACTGCACATACAGAAACCTGACTACGTACGAACACGTACACAAACCTGACAACCTATTGACATAAAGCCTAGCAACCTACTGCACATACACAAACCTGACAACCTATTGACATAAAGCCTAGCAACCTACTGCACATACACAAACCTGACAACCTATTGACATAAAGCCTAGCAACCTACTGCACATACACAAACCTGACAACCTATTGACATAAAACCTAGACCCTACTGCACATACAGAAACCTGACTACGTACGAACACGTACATGAGCGACAGCTAGAGAAGGAGCGTCTTGTTCAACATCTGGCGTGTCAATATCTGTGGGGAAATTAACGAACCGTTTTAATTAGCCAGCACAAATTAACGGATTAAATATTTTTAATAATCCAGCATGAATTAACAAATCTAATATATTTTTATTAGCCAGCATAAATTAAGGAATTTTAGCCTGCATAAATAAAAGAATTAAATATTTTTAATTAGCCGGTATAAATCAATGAATGACGCTTTTTAATTGGCCAGCATAAATTAACAAAGCAAATATTTTTAATTAGCCAGCATAAATGAACGGATCAAATATTTTTAACTAGCTATCAAACGATTAAAACCCTCTAAGAAATTATCGATTAATGGATAAAATGTTATTGGTTTTTTTTCCAATTCAACTCAAATTGAGTCTTATAGTTTATAACAAAGACACTCCCCACCACAGCCCTTCCTATTGAAGTTTGAATTATCGCTACAACCTTTAGATTATAAAGCTATCAAGTTTCCGTTTTGGTACGTCTACTCAGCTACGATTTAATTACTTGTGTGGGGAGTAGTTCTCTAGTAACTACTTAATTATTTTCATGTGTTGCTACTGTGTGCTTGGGCTATAGATTTAAGACAATCAATAGGCATGAATCTAGTTATCAACTCTATACACCAGTGCTTCTCAAAGTGTGGGATGGGCTCCCCATGCGTAAAGTAATAGTTCAAGATTGATTAAGTTTTTAATTAAAACTCAGTTTACCGCGCGGTCACTAAGAAAAAATGCGCGGGTGAGTGACTCTATGAGTGCAAACAGAGAAATAAACCCTGTATTTTAACATTTCATTCTTATCTATAGTGTACGTTCATGCCCAGTGGCGTAGGCAAGATTTTGTTAATTAGGGGTCACTTTTTATCCATATGTGTGCGTGCGTGAATGTATGCGTGTGTGTGTGATTGTGCGTGTTTATGCGTGCGTGTATGTGTGTGCGTGTGTGTAAAACAACCTATAGCTCTAATTTAACATGAGACAGCTGTCGTTTGGGTGGCAGGGGGGAAGGGGGGGGGGGGCAGCAGGGGGAGGGGGTAAGTGCCCATGTGGGTGTTGTAACCCTACCTAACACACCCTGCCAACGCCTCTGCTCGCCACACTAGAGAAAAAGAGCAAATATTTTATCACTCTTTAAGTTCTTCAAGTAAAAAAAATTCAATATGAAAATACTTTTCAGTTACTAGCAAGATTAGCATACCATCGATTTCCTTTCTACCGCCGGCGTAAAGATCTCATCCGTGTGATGGCTCATTTGCATATGAGAAAGTAATGTATGAGTAGGTGACAGTCGGTACTCACCAATCTTAGTATGATCCATGTCCGAGGTGACAGTCAGTACTCACCAATCTTCGTATGATCCATGTCCGAGGTGACAGTCAGTACTCACCAATCTTCGTATGATCCATGTCCGGCTTATAGTCCCATGGGTTCACGTCCATCATTTGACTTGTGGCGTAGCACATCTCCTGTAGGGTGGCCACTTTCCTGGGGTGGGGGAGGGGGGGGGTACAAATTATTCAGCGCCGATGAATATTCATGAAATTTTATTTTCACATTTTAATTTTTTTTTTGTTTAGAGACGCGTCACAAAGCTGACACCAACTTAATTAACTTTTCTAAATTTCAATCATTTATAATTAGCTAAGTTGTTGGCCTTCTCACGAGCTGAATTTGGTTTAGTTTTTTTTATTTGGCATATTTTATTTTTATTTTTTTAATTTGCATTGTTTTAAGTCTCAGAAAATAATGTAAATCAACAAGCGGAAATTAAACTATTTTAAAATAAAAATTCTGCTTTTAACCCTATTCTAACACTAAGTGGGTCAATTAGACCCGTATAATTTTAATATTAAGTTCCTTATTCGAGCCTGACGGTCTTTGAGGCAAATGAAGCATAGTTAACCTGTTTCTGTGACCTCGGCATATCAAGTAATAGTGCATTTTTAATATAGTAGTCTATCCTTTCTTTTATTATTTTAATAGTATAACAGTATAACTATTATTATTTACAACATTAATTTTAGTTTCCAGGTATTTTATTGGTATAATTTGTATGCATGCATATAAAACTAGACTTGAAATATAAAAAGTACTACAATTACTACCAATTGATTACACCGATTATTAATTGGAACTAACTGTGCTCCGTATAATTTTTATATAATGACAAAGTTGATGTTTTTTTTTATTACCAACTAGATCAACGTCCGCCAATCTCAGTATGCACTTTTTAGCTTAATTGCTAACACAACTTTTTAGGTCTATTTCTACTTTTTCCAAAATGTCTGTCTGGTTTGTAATTTTCTGCTTTGAACCCAGTTTTATTTCGATTCAATTTACCCGATACCAATTAATCTTTCAACAAGTGAAGATTAGTTCCACAAAACTTCGCCGCAATTTTCAATAACCGAATTACCGTTCTAAATAAGAGAACTCTTCCCGGTCCGCGAGCTTCCTCTCTAGGCTAGAGTTGTCTGTCAGTTCTGTCCCGGCCGTGCATTTTTTGTGAGCCAAGCACTCGCTGATGCCAGTCTGGATGAGGGCAGTGGAACCTGGGGAACATAGACGGGAACAAGTGTTGGTCTAGATGGGAACAGACGGGAACATGTGTTGGTCTAGATGCGAACATGCAAGGGACCTATTATTGGTGTATATGGGAACAAAAAAGAGATCTTAGTCTAGATGGGAACATGCACATTATTAAAACTATGGTCTCCAATTGTTGATTGGTATACAACAATTTTATTACGATAATACAACTGTCTTAGAGTCTAGGTCATGTGACACAACTTTTATTGTGTAAAAAGCATTTTTTTAAAGCGTACTATTTTCTTGCCCCAGATCCATAGGGCAGATGAAGTAGAGTTTATCGGTTTTAACTAACTCGGCATATCGAGAAATAGTGTGGTCAGCTCTATGCCCGGTCACCTAATTTCCTTAAGTAGGTCAAAGCTGGGCAGACCCGGGGAGCGTCCACAGACTTCAACGCATCTATATCCGACCTTGACATTGGTAGGTATAGTGTGGTCAACACCATGACCAGCCGTCATTACTTTATCAAATTTGTTTAGTCAGGTACTAATTAAAGCTGAATTGACTCAAAAAAATTAACCATGGTGATTATTACTGAGAAAAGTACAAGAAGGTAAAATAAACATTTTTCGATGATTCATAAACTGTTGGAATAATTGAATAGTGCTCTACTAGAAGATTCCAGTGTGTCCTGACGAAAGTTTGGAGAATCGACTAGTCCAGGAAGTGACGTGTCGGCCTTACAGTCCCAGAGGTCACAAAATGTCTGGTCGATCAATCAATTCAACAGCTGGTTTTTATCTGGCAGACTAGAATCTTAGTCTGGTTTCTAGATCAAGACTAGAATCTTAGTCTGGTTTATAGATCAAGACTAGAATCTTAGTCTGGTTTCTAGATCAAGACTAGAATCTTAGTCTGGTTTCTAGATCAAGACTAGAATCTTAGTCTGGTTTCTAGATCAAGACTAGAATCTTAGTCTGGTTTCTAGATCAAGACTAGAATCTTAGTCTGGTTTCTAGATCAAGACTAGAATCTTAGTCTGGTTTCTAGATCAAGACTAGAATCTTAGTCTGGTTTCTAGATCAAGACTAGAATCTTAGTCTGGTTTCTAGATCAAGATTACGTCTAGAATCTTTGTCTAGTTTTAACTAGCAAGAATAGAAGTCTTTGTATGCATATACATACATATATAAATAAAAAAAAATTTTAAATTTAAATATATATATATATATATATATATATATATATATATATATATATATATATATATATATATATATATATATGTGACTAGGGTAGGCCTAGCCACTAGTTACAAATCTGATAACGAACGATAAGCCGAGACGCAGTATAAAGTCTGATGTAACCGATAGCAGGTGGCTTATTGAAGTCGGTCTGATAACAATCTCAAAGGCAACGCGTGCTATTTTGGGAAACGGTATGAGAAGTTTCAGACGAGCTGTCAACTTTGATGGATGGGACGCAGATGTTTTAGTGAATCGGACGGTACGTCAGAAACTGCGACAGTAGTATTCGGATACATCGATTACAAGTATCGATTACGGAAATGGAGACAAGTACGACTACGATTTCAAGGCATAAATAGGAGGGGACGACAGAACTCGCTCTCTTCCCGTTTCGAGGCCCTTTCCGTTTCATCGCTTGCTTTAGATCAGTCAGTCTGCGTGACAATACTCAAGTTGGTTATACTGTGTTAAGAAGGATTATAGACATGTGGATTCAGTTATATAAAGCCTAGTGAGGACTGTTAGGGGGTCAGTTGATTCAGACTATTATTGTGAAACATCTCTGTTGATTCATTGTGTTATATTGAAGCATTTCTTGATTCATGTAATAAAAGGATCAATAGCGAACCTGCATCTTCGAGTCTTTCTACTGTAGTCGATGTTGTGTAGCATGAGTGGTTCAACTCGTTACAATTGGCGTTGTCGGGCAGGATAGACTCAGGAAGGTTACATGTGGCGCTGCGAGCAGGGTAACTGTTCGCTCGTTACAATTGGCGTCGTCGGACCAGGATGAATTAAACTAGACTTGCCGTTTTAGGCACCCATAGTCAACCTTGTGCATAACTGTGTTTTGTGTGTATGTGAATTCGGACATTCAGGAACTGTGAAAATCGAGGAAAATTTTTTCATATACACACGGTAAGAAAGAACTCTTTTGTTTTACTTACGGAATAAAATGTCTACTCTGGACGAGAAGCAGACCCATATAGTGGTCCTACCCAGAGAGTCCCACATTAACAAATTTTACGGGGACGGTGATCCCACTTTAACCAACAGGTTCAGTGAAGAGGTCAAAGCGGCCTGGGCCTCGAGAGGCATGTCACCAGAGGAAAGATTAAGACTGCTGATGGGCAGCATAGGAGAGACGGTTAGGGCAGAGGTCAAATGCCATGATAAAACCATCCAATCAGATCCGGATAAGGTGCTGGATCTGATTATGGAGACCTTTGGGGAGAGACGGTCGGGATCGCAACTGCTGGCAGGGTTCGTAGGCTTAAGGCAGAGAATGGCGGAGAGTGTGATGGAGTACTCACACCGGATGAATAGGGCCTTTGATTCGGTAAAGGTCAAAACACCGGACATTGATGTACGCCTACTGAGGGACCATTTCATTGAGGGGCTGGCAACCCCGATCCTAAGAAGAGAGTTGAAAGAGGAGGTCCACAAAGAACCGCAGTTGACCTTCCTTCAGGTCAGGAACTCAGCGATCCGCAGGTCCGAGGATGAGGACCAATCAAACTGTTCGGTGGACAAAGTCGCTGTGCCTGAACAGAGACAATCCCCACCCACAGGGGCCGACACGATTGAGACCATGATGGCTCAACTGTTGGCCCACCTAGATAAGGTTGACCAACGCTTGAAGTGGTTGGAAAGCAGGTCAACAGCTGAGAATCAGGAAAAGAACGGTACAAAACAGGGACGGGTTGGACGGCCGCGTCCGGCCAAGCCATCACTCCAATGGACGGCCGACGGTCGACCAATTTGTTTGTCTTGTTCACAACCCGGACATATGGCACGGTACTGCCAGGGAAACGGTCGTCCTCTGTAAGGCAGGGCCAGGCTACAGAGGGGCGAGGGTATGGCCCAAGAAGCAAAATGATGGGAGTCTGTCCCGAAATGGTGATTACGATTGGGGACATCGCGGTGAAGGCAATTGTGGATACAGGCTCCCAGGTGACGACAATCACGGAAAATTTTTACACCAAATGGATGAAAGGAAAAGACCATAGGTTGAGGTCTGACACATGCATGCGCCTGACGGCAGCTAATGGACTAACCATTCCATACTGTGGTTATTTTCTGGCGGATGTCGTGGTGGCAGGACATAGGTTGAAGCAGGTTGGGGTGTTCGTTACGAAACACAACCTAGAGACAAATGTGTCAAATATACCTTGCCTGTTGGGCATGAATATTCTTGGCCAGTTGCCAGAATTTCTTACAAATATTGTCGGATCGACCACACCAGGTCGGGGATCCAAGTTGGCCAGGTTTGCCAAGACCAGAGGAAGGACAGCAGTCCCGGCAAACACGGTCAAGGCAATCACATTACAAATTGGTGATAGAAGCGTGAATGGTGATGTGATGATAGAACCATGTGGCGCCGCACTGAGGGCAGGCGTCGTGTTACTGCGGACATACACATCAGCGGAAAATGGACTAGTTCAAGGATTAGTGGCAAATGTTTTGGATGAAGAAATTTTTATACCGCCTAATACTCTGGTAGGAGTACCACAGAACGTCGAGGTACAAAGGTCGGCACAGTGCATCGAACTGATCAATACCAGTAGTAATGAAGTAACAATTAGGTCGGTCAATGTGACGGCCGAGGTGAAGAAAAGGGGTGGCCGATCATATATATTCCCGGAAACTGAAGACCCAAAATTAAATGAATTACTGAATAAATACAGGGATGTATTTGCCTCGTATGAGGGTGATTTGGGGTACACGGAAGTAATCAAACACCAGATACCCTTACTACAAGACAAGCCAGTGGCGCAACCTTATCGAAGATTGCCACCGAGTCACTACTCGGCGGTGAAGGCACACCTGAATGATCTACTAGAAAAGGGAATTATTACAACCAGTACGAGCCCGTATGCGGCACCGATAGTAGTGGTAAAAAAGAAGTCAGGGGAGATAAGACTGTGTTGTGATTACCGGAAATTGAACAATATCACGAGAAGGGATGCATTCCCCTTGCCTCGTATTGATGAATGTCTTGATGCGTTGGGGGGAGCAAGATTTTTTTCTACCTTGGATTTGGCTAGTGGCTACCACCAAGTGGCCATGCACCCCAACGATCAACATAAAACTGCATTTATTTCTCCACTGGGACTGTACGAGTGGACCCGTATGCCGTTTGGTCTAACTAATGCACCTGCTACATTCCAGCGAGTAATGCAGAGTGCTATGAGTGACTTTCTATTTCAAATAATGTTGGTGTATTTGGATGATATTCTAGTTTACTCAAAAACTTGGGAGGACCATCTAAAAAGATTAGAACAAGTGTTTCTCCGTCTTAGGGAGATAGGAGTAAAGCTGAACCCAGACAAATGCTGCTTTGGTTTGAAATCGGTACATTTTTTGGGTTACGTGATTTCGTCGGATGGCATCGCCACTGACCCAGATAAAATTGCAGCTGTTAAAGAATGGAAACAACCAACAACTACGGTAGAGGTCAGGTCATTCTTGGGCTTTGCTTCCTATTATAGAAAATTTGTGCCGGGTTTTGCAAAAATTGCCGCACCATTGCATGACTTGGTAAACAAAATGACAAAGAAACACAGTAAGGAGAAAAAGAAAGGTAAAACACACCTGATAGGTGAACTATGGACTGATGAATGCCTGAACTCGTTTAAACTCTTGAAAAAGGCTTTGACAGAGGCACCGATATTGGGTTACGCGGACTTTGACAAACCATTTCGGTTAGAAATTGACGCCAGCTCTAAAGGCCTGGGAGCTGTGCTATCACAACAACAAAAGCAAGGTTTCAGGGTTATTGCGTATGCCAGTCGAGCTCTGAAGGAATCAGAGAAGAACATGACAAATTACAGCGCCATGAAACTAGAACTTTTGACATTAAAATGGGCTGTGACTGAAAAATTCAGGGACTATCTCTTAGGTGCTAAATGTGTGGTATACACTGACAATAACCCCTTGAGTCACCTAAAGACAGCAAAGCTAGGATCCATCGAACAGCGATGGGCAGCAGAATTGGCACTCTTTGACCTGGTGATAAAATATCGCCCGGGGCGGTCCAATGGCAATGCGGACGCTTTATCAAGGAATCCTTACGAGAAACCGGGTGATGAGGAAGAAACGCTGACAGGAATATGTGAGGTCAGAGCGTCAACAGATATCCCTCATGGGGTACAAGTGATGCAGAACGGGCAGACCGGGGTGGAGCACATATCCACAGAGCCCGAACATATGGACAATAGTGATTTTAATTGCCTTAATCACCAAAAGATAAGAGATGCCCAGAGAACGGATAGTGGCTTACAACCGCTATTGAAATACGTCCAGGAACAAAAATTCCCAGGAAGAAGGGAAAGAGAACAATTTGGTCGAGAAACAAAGAAAATACTGAGTCAGTGGGACCGTCTCAGTATAGAGGATGGTGTTCTCATACGGAGAATTCATGACCAAATTGATGGGACAATACACCAGGTGGTGGTGCCTGGACAGTTAAGAGAAGAAGTGCTAAGGTTGGCACATGACAGGGCAGGACACCAGGGTCAGGACAGGACGCACAAAATATTACGACGGAGGTGTTACTGGCCCAATATGGAAATGGAGGTCAAACGCCATTGTGAGGCTTGTGTGAGGTGTCAGCATGCGAAAATGCCAGTTGTCAAAATGAGACAGCCATCGGGACACCTATTAGCGACAAAACCACTAGAGATTGTGGCTATGGACTTTACGTCGTTGGAGCAATCATCGGATGGGACGGAACATGTGTTGGTAATGACTGATGTATTCACCAAATGGACGGTGGCGGTGCCCACGCGAGATCAGACTGCCAAAACAGTGGCAAAGGTCTTAATAGAACATTGGTTCATCAAATATGGCATACCAAGACAATTACATTCTGACCAAGGAAGGGCTTTCGAGTCAGAAGTAATTAACCAACTGTGCAGCCACTACGGGATCAACAAATCCAGAACAACCACATTTAATCCGAAAGGAAACGGACAGTGTGAACGGTTCAACCGCAGCATGCATGATTTGCTGCGTACGCTAGAACCTGAACAGAAAAAACGTTGGCCTGATTTTCTCCCAGAGTTGGTATATCTATACAACTGCACACCCCATGCCACAACCGGCTTTACGCCATACATGTTGCTGTTCGGACGGGAGGCTCGACTCCCTCTTGATTTGTTCTTAGGAAAAAAGGAGAGTATGACTGGCTCATACACCGCACTGGAATATGTGAATGAACATATGAGAAGAATTAGAGAAATGTACAGGGTAGTACAGGAAAGACTAGAACATGAAGCACGGCGAAGGGAACCGCCGGTACAGACAAAGGACCCGCCACTCAAACTGAATGACAGGGTATTACTGCGTAGCCACCCGTTAGGCAGAAACAAAATCCACGATCTCTGGGGACAGGAGATATGGCAAGTCGTGGAGATGCCTAAAGTAGCAGGTGGCCCCTTTAAGATAAGACCCATCGATCACGCCAAACCGGATCGGTGGGCGAATATTGCTCAATTAAAGAAATATTGGAATAGGCAAGAAGAGCAGTTACACACAGAGAAACCCAAGACAATTAGGGAACCGGAAGTTATAACGGAAAGTCACATACCCATTCCGGAACCATATCACCATCAACAGAACAACCGCGATACGCAACGGGAGGATACCGGCAACAATGAGGATCCCGGTCCCTCCAGAAGCAGAGAGACAGTAGACCATCAGATAAGTGGTCCGCGGAGAAGTTTAAGGAACAGAAGGAATACGAAATTTTTTGTCAGCAACCATCAATTCTTTCATGGTCGCGCTGGTATGAAAACAGACTGTTCAAAGAGCTATAGAAGTGAACTGGTGAAGGCACCAAATGGAAAGGGTGGATGTGAATTCTAGAACTGTTTTGTGTCTCAGGAAGAGGATGTAGACACAGTTGATATGTGAAATAGGTAGAACTGTCAATCGTATACGAATGGAACGTCGTGGACAGTGAGTGGAACAATAAAATTTTTTTACGATTGTGCGATTGACTCTGGAGGAGTGCACCTGCCAGGCGTTGTTTGTGGTTGAAAACACACAAAAAAAGGCAGGGGTGGATGTGACTAGGGTAGGCCTAGCCACTAGTTACAAATCTGATAACGAACGATAAGCCGAGACGCAGTATAAAGTCTGATGTAACCGATAGCAGGTGGCTTATTGAAGTCGGTCTGATAACAATCTCAAAGGCAACGCGTGCTATTTTGGGAAACGGTATGAGAAGTTTCAGACGAGCTGTCAACTTTGATGGATGGGACGCAGATGTTTTAGTGAATCGGACGGTACGTCAGAAACTGCGACAGTAGTATTCGGATACATCGATTACAAGTATCGATTACGGAAATGGAGACAAGTACGACTACGATTTCAAGGCATAAATAGGAGGGGACGACAGAACTCGCTCTCTTCCCGTTTCGAGGCCCTTTCCGTTTCATCGCTTGCTTTAGATCAGTCAGTCTGCGTGACAATACTCAAGTTGGTTATATTGTGTTAAGAAGGATTATAGACATGTGGATTCAGTTATATAAAGCCTAGTGAGGACTGTTAGGGGGTCAGTTGATTCAGACTATTATTGTGAAACATCTCTGTTGATTCATTGTGTTATATTGAAGCATTTCTTGATTCATGTAATAAAAGGATCAATAGCGAACCTGCATCTTCGAGTCTTTCTACTGTAGTCGATGTTGTGTAGCATGAGTGGTTCAACTCGTTACAATTGGCGTTGTCGGGCAGGATAGACTCAGGAAGGTTACATGTGGCGCTGCGAGCAGGGTAACTGTTCGCTCGTTACATATATATATATATATATGTAAATATATATATATATATACAAAGACTTTTTGAAATAACTTTTTTCCTTTATATTGTTTATATATATATATATATATATATATATATATATATATATATATATATATATATATATATATATATATATATATATATATGATTGAAACATCATGTTAATATTTAGAAGTACTCAATACGTTTGGGGTGGGAAGGCCAGATACAGTTCAAACGGTGACAGGACAAATGATCTTTTGTTTTTGATGATGTTTTGTCTGAGATCATTTGTCCATGATACCTTTGTCCTGATATATTTTATCCTCAGATCATTTGTACGTGAGATGTTTTGACTTGGACATTTTGTCTCAGATCATTTGTCCTATGATCATTTAAAAGAACTATAAAAAATGTCTTGAGATGGCATTAGATAGTTAAAGATGTGGCAAACTTACTGTCCCATAGAGGAAACAGTAGTGTGATAGACTGGATACTTACTGTCCCATAAAGGAAACAGCGACTGTAGTGTGATGGACTGGATACTTACTGTCCCATAGAGGAAACAGTAGTGTGATGGACTGGATACTTACTGTCCCATAGAGGAAACAGTAGTGTGATGGACTGGATACTTACTGTCCCATAGAGGAAACAGTAGTGTAATGGACTGGATACTTACTGTCCCATAAAGGAAACAGCGACTGTAGTGTGATGGAGCGGATGAACTCAGCCTGCAACATCTCCAGACACCCAACAAAGATCCGGTACAACCTCTCCAGGTCCTCTCTCTCCTCCTCTTTAGAGCGTTTGCTGGTGAGTTAAATGGTGATGATGTTGTTCAGGGTGTAAACAGTGATGATGTTGGTGTGGGTGTAAATGGTGATCATGTTGGTGGGGGTTAAATGGCGGTGATTTTGGTGGGGATAAATGGTGATGATGTTGGTGAGGGTGTAAATAGTGATGATGTTGGTGTAGGTGTAAATGGTGATGGTGTTGGTGTGGGTGTAAATAGTGATGATGTTGGTGTGGGTGTAAATGGTGATGATGTTGGTGTGGGTGTAAATAGTGATGATGTTGGTGTGGGTGTAAATGGTGATGATGTTGGTGTGGGTGTAAATAGTGATGATGTTGGTGTGGGTGTAAATGGTGATGGTGTTGGTGTGGGTGTAAATAGTGATGATGTTTGTGTGGGTGTAAATAGTGATGATGTTGGTGTGGGTGTAAATAGTGATGATGTTGGTGTGGGTTTAAATAGTGATGATGTGGGTGTGGGTTTAAATAATGATTATGTGGGTGTGGGTGTAAATGGTGGTGATGTTGGCGGGGGTTAAATGGTGGTGATGATTGTGGTTGAAAAAGGTTTTTTGTGGCGTTGGTGGGTGTAAATAGTAATGATGCTGGTGGTGAGTGTAAATGGTGATGATATTTATGGCTGTTGTAAATAGTAATCGTGTTAGTGGTGGTGGTGGTGTGTGTAAATGGTGATGGTGGTGTTGGTGGTGATATTGTTGGTGGGTGCAAATGGTGATGATGTTGGTGGTGGTTGTAAATAGTGATGATGTTGGTGACGGCGAGGTAAACACTGCAGATTTTGATGGTGTGGCTTAAGTAAGTTTATGTTTTTGTAGGGAACTAAATCGTGCTACTGATACTAGTTATGATGTTGATAATGACGATGATGGTGGTGGTGGTGATATAAAAGGGAATTCAATAGAACCGCTGTAACTTGTACATAAATGAGTTATGACAGACAATCGATCAAACTTCCATATCCCGCCAGCTTTGTTCAAACTTTGACCATTAACTGACCTCAACAGCAGCGGCATCAACCTCCGTTTACACAGCTGCACCAGGTCAAAGACCTTGCAGCCCAGCGTCCGCAGCTCGTCTCTCAGAGCAAAGGAGTCACAGACTCCGCCGATTCCCATACTCATACAGCAGTAGACGGCGATTTCACGGCTGAGGCTGTACACCAGCTGTGGGGAGAAGATAGACTATAGCTAGGCAGGTAATAAAGTAGACATACGTCTAATCCAGTAGAAAGTAGGTATACTTCTAGTCCAGTAGAAAGTAGATATACGTCTAGTCAGTAGAAGCTAGATATACGTCTCATCAGTAAAAAGTAGACACTTTTATTCATTAAAAAGTATACACGTTTATACAGTAAAATAAAAAAAAATTACCACAAATAAATTGAATATTACGAATTAATTAACTAACTCAAATCAGGACTACTGTGAAGAATAATGTAAAAAAAAACTATATCAGTAGATAAAGTAGAAAAAACACTGCTCTGTTTCAATACTAAAGTCTGTGTTTAATCTTTTTTTATGTTTGCATTGTTTGTAAAACAGTAAAACCAACATTTCCTGTACAAAACTGTGATGTAACAAGATTAGTTAAGCACCATTTGTTGTAAGGGAGGGGGGTACCATCAGTGTCATCTGTCAGAGACCATCTGAAGTTAACCTTCCCCTACTTCTGCTATTCTACCAGGAAGAGATTTTGTGTAATCAAACAATTTTTTTTAAACAGCTTTTCAATCCTCTTGCATTTGTTTGACCAAACCCAGTCCCTCTCACCCCCCCCCCCCCCTCCTTAGATGTTGCAAGAGTTCATCAAGAACAAAAGAATCATTTACAGCGTAGCACCTGTCCAATGGGGAACAACTTTACATCAGTCTGTGAAACAGCTGTAGACAGTGAAATAGCTTTACATCAGACAACTTTACAACGTCTGGAAGTCAAATAGCTTTAAATTAGCCAGTGAAACAGCTTTACAGCAGTCTTTGAAACAGCTGTATATTAGACATTGAAATAGCTTTACATCATACAACGAGACAGCTTTACAACTAGGAATGAAACAGCTTAACATTAGTGGAACATTTGTATATTAGCCAGTGAAATAGCTTTATATCTAGAAGTGAAATAGCTTTACATTTGTCAATGAAGCAGCTTTCTATTTGACAATGAAACAGCTTTATATCAGATAAAGGAACAGCTTTAGTTTTAGATGTGAAACAGCTTTATATCTGATAAAGGAACAGGTTAAGGTTTAGATTTGAAACAGTTTTACATCTGATAAAGGAACAGCTTTACGTTTAGATGTGAAACATATTTATATCTGATAAAGGAACAGCTTTACGTTTAGATGTGAAACAGCTTAACGTTAAGATTTGAAACAGCTTCACGTTTAGATGTGAAACAGCTTTACGTTTAGATGTGAAACAGCTTTACGTTTAGATGTGAAACAGCTTTACATCTGATAAAGAAACATCTTTACGTTTAGATGTGAAACAGCTTTACGTTTAGATGTGAAACAGCTTCACGTTTAGATGTGAAACAGCTTTACGTTTAGATGTGAAACAGCTTTACGTTTAGATGTGAAACAGCTTTACATCTGATAAAGAAACATCTTTACGTTTAGATGTGAAACAGCTTTACGTTTAGATGTGAAACAGCTTTACGTTTAGAGGTGAAACAGCTTTACATCTGACGCTCCATCAACGCCTCCCAAACGCCAGGTTCAGATATGGCCAGATACGTCATTGTTATTTCCGGTTAGAAGATAATTACAGTCGGTCCCTGAGTATTGATGGCTTATGTCCTCTCTGGCTCGGGTTTTTATTCGTGGGCCAAACTGGCCAGCGATAGATTAGAACTGACATAGTGTGGCCAGGAGTCTGTCCCATCTCATTGCCTCTCTTGCAGACTGACGTTTAGGGCGCATCTAATGCCATGTGTTACCCGGATGATCCAAACACGCATGCGTCGTCCAATGTTTTGCTAACGTAAATGATTACGCAATTTCGGACTGAGTTTCTAGTACATTCCTTGAAAAAATATCAAATTAATGCACGTTTTACACATGTGTTTAAAAAAACTGGCTTGAATTTGCTCACTCACAACTAAAATTTTTAAACAATTTTTAAATTAAATTATATTAAGAAATGAATTGCTTGTTTTAAAAGAAATCGATGTTTACGAAAACAAAAAGTTTAATTAAGAGATGTGCATTGTCTTTAAGCTAGATTAGCAAACCATGGCAGTTTACGTCTTGTGAATATTAGAATAACTGAACATTAGAATAACATATAACATGAGAATAACATATGACATTAGAATGACACATAACATGAGAATAACATATAACATTTAAATAACATAAAGCATTAGAATAACATATAACTTTAGAATAACATATAACATGAGAAAAAACATAACAAGAGAATATCATATACCGTAAAAGAACACATTTTTAACTAACTGCACGTTGTGAAATATTTCTACCCTCTCACTGTATTGAACATTTGACATTTATTCAAACAGTTTGACATTTACACAACAGTATGACATTTACATAAAAGTGTGACAGTTACACAATAGCGTGAGAGTTACACAACAATGACATTTACACTGCCCTGCACCTTTATGTAAACACCGCCCATTCTTGATTACTTTCGTTAGATATCGTTAAGAATCGAATGCATAATTGCATTTAATTACAATATTTTATTTTCCTCAAATTAGAGAATATCACCGCACAAATTACTCGCAATTTTTAAAAATTCCATTCATATGCTAAATTAGCGAACAATCGGGAACAAAACACAATTTTTGACAGCGGCATGCAAATGTTCATCATTGAACAAATACTTCTCAATACATCAGTATATGTCAACAGCTACTCAAGAATCGACAGTTCAGTCTTCAGTGAAACCCTGTTGTTTGTTCATTTTGTCACAACATTGCGCTCAATTATTTTATGTTAATTAGGAATACATTAATGGGAAATGAAGATTTTTTTAAAATTAGCATAACAGTTTAATTAAGCCTTAAGGATTATCTTTACACCATCTTCATCGGCCTTTTCCCTAATAGCTGTGGATTTCTCCAACTCTTCACAAATTGTATTCTAAGTTCTGCAACCCCTCATGGATTTAAGTCTGTAAACTTTATTTGGAATATCGGATACGTTGTTGGCGATATAATATTTATAGACTAGACATTCTTCAGCTTGTTTTAGTTGCAGCCCACTAAGCTATAATTTAGATTTCTAAGCGTAAAAATTAACATTCTATATAACCCACCAGTGTATCAAAATAACCCACCAGTTTTCCAAAATAACTCACCAGTTTCTCAAAATAACCCACCAGTTTTCCAAAATAACCCACCAGTTTTCCAAAATAACCCACCAGTTTTCCAAAATAACCCACCAGTTTTCCAAAATAACCCACCAGTTTTCCAAAATAACCCACCAGTTTCTCAAAATAACCCCCACCAGTTTGTAAAAAAAAACCCCACTAACCTTGTAAAATAACCCACTAATTTGTAAACCTAATCCACTAACATGTCCAGATAAACCACTAACCTGCCCAAAAACCCACCAAGCTGTTCAGATAACCCACCAGAAATCCCACCATCACACTACTAAGACACCACGTACTACACACCCCAGCACTCTACCCTTACCCGAGCTAACGTACATTGACCAACTGTGTTAACCAATCACATCTTCTCGGCGCCGTCTCTGCTGAATGTCCCTAGCACGATCTGACCACGTGACAGAGTTACTGTTATTGTTTCCGTCTAAACAATGACGCGAGTGATCTCTCTTGACGCTAAACTGACCTAATTAATGTCAATGGCCAATTTGGTGGGTAAAAATAGCTGGATGATACATTCGATGGGCTGGGATGGAGGGAACTCAAGGTACAATCTTTGTTATGTGGGGGAATACTGTGAATTATTGTAAACAAAATAAATAAACAAAAATTGTAAATAAAAATAGAGGAGCGAATGAATATCTTAAAAATCATAACGTACAAATATTTCGTACAAATAGTTTTGAGTCTACGTTAAGAAGATGAAGTAAATTAAAACTGATTATAAAAATTTACTTTCTTGGGCATTTTCCATGTGGAAGTAATTAGGGAAAACTAGATAATTTGCGTCATATTTTCCTGATAGTCTGGCGTTTGAACTAGTTTAATGCAGATGTTAGACTAAGCTTTTAACCTAATAGAGAGATGGGTTGGTCTAAGCTTAGTATAATACTGCTAACTTTTTGGTCGAAAGATATAGAAAGCCTCGTCTACTGCTGCTGAAGTGTAGGTTTAAAGATGAAGAAAGTCTAGTCTAGTGAATGAAATAACCTGACTTTACCTTAGTCAATAGATCAAAACTGTATTGATCAGATATATGGGGAGTTAATGGGCAGGCGATAAATATAAGGGAAGCTACTAGTTACTGTGTGTGTTAAATATAAGAGAAGCTGCTGCATGGGCGTTAAATATAAGGGAAGTCACAAGGTTGGAAATAAATATAAGGGAAGTCACCGGGTGGGCGTTAAGTATAAGGGAAGTTACTAGTTACTCTATGTATGTTACATACAAGGGAAGCTACTGAATGGGCGTTACATATAAGGGAAGTCACTAGGTGGGCAATAAATATAAGGGAAATCACTAGGTGGGCAATAAAAATAAGGGAAGTCACTGGGTGGGCGTAAAAACAAGGGAAACTACTGGATAGGTGTTACATATAAGGGAGGTTACTGTTGATGGATGTAAAATATCTGACAAAGGACATATCAAGTTGTACCGTGTAAGAACACCATATAAATCGTATACTGCACACGCACACCAAACTACGATCATCATTACAAAGCCATGGTCCACTTAAAAATACTGCATATAATGTAGGTATGAATAGCTTGGTTGTGTAAGGGACTGATTCAAGAGACAGTAATGTCAACAACAAATACACAACAACCCCGGAACTTAGTCATACTAGAATAGCAATACAAATAATAATATAGTTAATAATGTAATTAATAATTTAATGTATACAGCTTTGATATATTGGTGAAGCATAGATTAATATCTAGACGTGTATAAATCATTTATTTATGCATAGAGCTTACTACATAAATCATCAATTACATACACATTTTTTTTCTCAAGGTTTGAATGGATTCG